GTAATGGCTTTTGCACAGATTTGATAAGCATGACTTTTATTTTCCTTTGAAGTTATTTAATGTCATATCAAGATCAGAGCTTGAGAGACCTCTATGCTTCATTCAAGCCTTTTTAATATATACATCCTATCTAATAAAAGAGAAACATGGTAATTAGCGTACGACCGCTACCCTTCCCATTGGCTAATCAGGGCGATATGCAAATTAACTGCCAGCCAAGATGGCGGCCAGCAGCCAGGCAGCTGGAAGCGAACATGAGGCTTGCTTGCTTCAGTGACGGAGGACTCCAACGTTCCCCACCTGCCGCTGCTGGCCTCTGAGCTACAACTCTAAGCAACTATGTTACAAATATAGAAGCTAAACAAAACCCCAGAAACCTGCTTTAGTCCCGGGCTTCAGCCAGCAGGATCACAACATTGTTTCAAATACAGAAGGTAAACAAAGGCCAGAAACCTGCTTTCAGCAGCAGAGGCCTCAGAGCTGGAGCCAAGCCTCAGAGCTAAAGCTGGCCCAGAATAAAAAAGAAAAAGAAAAAAAGGAGCAGTTGGGAGCTTCAGTCACCCACCAGCCTGAAAACAGCCCTCAGCCCCTCACCCAGACTGGCCAGGCACCCCAGTGGGGACCCCCACCCTGATCCAGGACACCCTTCAGGGGCAAATCAGCCGGCCCTCACCCGTGCACCAGGCCTCTATCCTATATAGTAAAAGGGTAATATGCCTCCCAGCACCGGGATCAGTGGAGCCGCGAGGTCTCCTGGCACCGGGATCAGCATGACAGGGGGCAGCGCCCAAACCCCCTGATCGCCCTGCGGCTCTGTGTGTGACAGGGGGCGGGGCCACAACCTCCCTATCCACCCTGCTCTATCCGTGACAGGGGAAGCCGCCCAAACCCCCTGATCAGCCCTGCTCTGTACCTGACAGGGGGGAGCTCCCCAACCCCCTGATTGCCCTGCGGCTCTGTGTGTGACAGGGTGCAGTGCCCCAACCTCCCCCACCCCCCCATGGGCCCTGCTCTGTGTGATGGGGTAGAGCCATAACCTCCCCATCGGCCCTGCACTGAGTGTGACAGTGGCAGTGCCCCAACCCCCTGATCGGCCCTACCCTGAGCGTGACTGAGGGTGGCATCGAAACCTCCCGATCCGCCCTGCTCTGTGCATGACAGGGGCGGCGCCCCAACTCCCCAATCAGCCCTGCTCTGAGCCCGACCAGGGGCTGCACCTAGGGATTGGGCCTGCCCTCTGCCACCTGGGAGCAGGCCTAAGCCAGCAGGTCGTTATCTCCCGAGGGGTCCCAGACTGCGAGAGGGCACAGGCCGGGCTGAGGGACCCCCCCCCTTTCCCCCGAGTGCACAAATTTTTGTGCACCCGGCCTCTAGTATATATATAATTGATTTCAGAGAGGGAGAGGGAGAGAGAGATAGAAACATCAATGATGAGAGAGAAACGATGCTCAACCACTGAGCCACGCCCAGCTGGGTCATTAAAGCTCTTAATGAAAGCCTGTTGCCAGTCCTCCAGGCCCCTTTCTATGTCTCCCCCGCAGTTCGTGGAAGGTCTCTGTAGTGTCCTGCTGAAATTTCCTAAGTCATCTTCCCACCTCTCAGAAACCCAGTCCGGAAGAGGAAATGTGGTAGGTGTGGCATGATTTGTTGTTAGTGAGCACCCCTACTGCCTTCTATTGAGCACTACATTATTTTCTTTCCTTTTGAGAAATTTTATTTTTATTTAAAAAGATGTGCTTATTATAACATGATGTGCTTATTCTAAAACAGTCCCCGTGGCCAATGCATTTGTGATGCTTCTCAGCCCAAAGGTTCTAGGGGGTGGACAGTCCCTGTCCCTGCAGCCTGCCGTCACATGACACCCAGGACTCTCTCTGCTTTGCTTTCTTTGAAACCATGAACAGGAATCACCTAACAGTGCAGGAGAGGGGCAACCTTCAACCAATGGCGAGGGGCAGGGGGCAGTCAGCTCCCCACCTTCTGGGGCAAAGCTCGGCTGCAGACTGCATTTTTCTCGGAGGGTCCCCAGAGGGGAAGAACCCCTAGCTGCCCACAGCTAACCCACCTCAATAATGCCCCCGTTGCGTTCCTCTCTCCCTCTCCCATCTCACTCTCCTGACTTCTGCTTCCAGCATGATCTCCCCCATCAACTCCCTGTACCCAAGTCTTGGTTTCAGGGTACAATTTCAGAAGCAGGAGAATCCAAACACAGATATCAGTGCCTCTCTCTCTCTCTCTCTCTCTCTCTCTCTCTCTCTCTCTCTCTCTCTCTCTCTCTCTTTTACATACATAAACGATAATAAGCCCATGTACTTTTGCCTAAAGGGGACCATACGGCACGTGTTCTAAAACCTGCTCTTTTTGATTACTCACAGTAGGCAGGGAACATATTTTCATACCAGTAAGTAAAATGCTAGACACACTTCTTAGTGTCTGCATAGCATGCGGTTGGAGGTGTGTCTGACCTTTGATTTCTTGATTTGTGGACATCTGGATGGTTTCCAGCGTCGCACTGATGAAATGCTCTCGTGCACACCTTTGCAAGTGCACAGGGTGTCCTCTGAGGAAACGCTGAGCTGCGTGATTGCTTATTGTCTCCCACGTGTTTGATCACTTATCCTGGAACTTTAATAGAGGTCAACATTAACCTTCGGCACTCAGAGTTTTTGTTTTGTTTTGTTTTAAATATATTTCTTTATTGATTTCAGAGAGAAAGGGAGAAGGGGAGAGAGAGAGAAACATCAATGATGAGAATCATTGACTGGCTGCCTCCAGCAGGTCCCCTACTGGGGATGGAGCCCGCAACCCAGGCATGTGCCCTTGGCCGGATTCGAACCTGGGACCCTTCCAGCTAGGGCCCGCTCAGAGTTTTTTAAAAAGCTACCTTCCCATCCTTTGTGGAAATCAGGACATTTTCCATCTTCAGCTTTCTGGCACTTCGTTCTCTGTCATTTCCTTTAAGGCCATGATTACATCTGCAAACGCCTCCAGGACCCTGAGATGCCATTGATCTGGGCTGCAATTGTTTGTGGCTTGGTGCCTTCTTATCACTTATTTCAGGTTTCCATTTCCTCCTTAAGCCCTTTATGCCACCATTTGAAGTAACACGGCCTGTGCTCTGCCCTGCCTGCCTTCCTTTGCGAGTTAAGGTTACACCACACAATCCCAGCCCTGAGCAGATTCCTTCCTGGTCTCCTCACGGAGACTCTGTCTTTGCCAGTTTCCCCAGCTTCCAGTCGCTGGGGCTTGGTATGTTGCTAACACCATTTTTACACATCCTACCAATCTTCCAGATCCTTCTGCATATTTTGTTTGTGAGGCCAGTCTCCAGTGGAGGGAGGTGGAAGGGTGGCTGCAGAGAGGCTGAGGTCTAGACCAGAGTACAGTCCCTACCTGGGAGGAGGGCCCCGCCCTTCCCCAGCCAGCCCCTGCGGAACACTGCCTGCAAAGTGCTTCGAAATGGTCATTAGTGAGCTCTCCCCAAGGCAGGCGATCAGTGCTGTTATCTGCACTTCTAAACGGCAGGCGATCAGTGCTGTTATCTGCACTTCTAAACGGCAGGGAGGATTCTAATGGCTGACACACACCCGCAGAACAAGTAGGACAGCAGGTCAAGGAGAGGCCAGGAGCACTAAGCAGATAAGCTCCAATCACCAAGAATCACCGAGACTCACCGAGGGCCCCAGAAGGCACCCGGGCAGGAGCCAGGAAGCCTGGGCGTTTGTGTGGGCTCTGCCCGGAGCTCCCCGCATGTCCTCAGGCAGGTCACTCCAACCTCTGTGAAATGGGAGAGGTGGAGCTCCCCGCATGTCCTCAGGCAGGTCACTCCAACCTCTGTGAAATGGGAGAGGTGGAGCTCCCTGCATGTCCTCAGGCAGGTCACTCCAACCTCTGTGAAATGGGAGAGGTTTGGACCAGAACGTTCTCACTCCGACAGGTTACCTTTTCCTCTAGAGCAGGGGTGGGGAACGTCTGGCCCTCGAAATCATTTGGTCTGGCCCTGCCAAGGCATGAGGGGTGAGTTAGTTAAATGTTTGACCCAACACAGCAGGCTGATTTTAAGTTGACAATTCTGTGTGGCCCGAGAATAATGTTATAAATATCCACATGGCCCTGGACAGAAAGAAGGTGCCCCACCCCTGCTTTAGAGAACCCAAGGCTGTTTCCTTCTCTGGGGCTGGGGCACGCTGAGCTGCAGCTCTGGCGGCGGTGGGGGGAGATGGGGTGGTGAGGGCCTCTAGCTCAGGGTGGAGTTCGGGTTCGCCTCCACAGTATTAGGAAGAACATGTCTTTGGGAAGGTGTTGAAGCCTCTTGAGGACAGTGGGCAGCTCTCTGGGGGCAGCCGAATAATGGCCGACCTTGGCCAGGTTGCCCCTGTGCAGCCCCTTCACTTCACAGACAGGAAATGGGGCCAGAGAGGGGAAGGGACACGTCCACTCACAGAGCTGGTAGGGTTGTATCAGGGGTTAAATGAGTTATTCTCGCTAACGTGCTCAGACACTCCAGGTATCCCTACGCGACGTGTTTGTTACGTGAAAATAATGGAGTGTCTGGCTAAAAACTCCAGGCAAACTCAGGTTGGCCTTTCAGATTTAGGAAGAAACCTGACTTGAACCTTGAACCCAGGAGCGCTTTCCAACTTGCCCGCCTGTCTGCTCTGGGGGTCTGGGCTGGGACTTGGCATGTCTTCGCAGCTCGCTGGTGTCAGAGCAGCTGGTCCAGACCCCTCTTGGAGAACATGGACCCCGAGGAGTGAATTGCTAAGGGTGGAATTTCTGGCATCAGTAAGGGAAAAATGGGGGGACAACAGGGTTCCTTATCCTTCCCCAGGTGTCTGGGTCTCCCCAGGGCTGACAGCTGCTCTGCAGCAGCACAGCTTTAGGGCATGCATCAATTCCTGCTGGCTGCCCCTGGGCCCCTCCTCTTCTCAGGGGGGCAGGTCTGACCCCCAGGCTACGGGGCCTGTGTGGTGAGAATGAATCAAACACCAACAGGCAGGTGAAACCAATGCATTCTTTATTGCAGACTGAAGCTAAGGGCTCACACTGTGCTCTGATCTGGGGCTTCTCGGCTGCCCAGCGTTCCCAGAGGGGCCAAGGCACACCCTCCACGCAGAGGAGGGCGCAGCTTCCAGAACAGCCCCTCTGGAAGGCCTGAGATGAGGACCTGGGGAAGTAGCAGCTTGGCTTTTGGTGGGGGGTGGGGGGACCAGAAAGGGAGGCCAGAGGACCGGGTAAATCCAACCTTCATCTCCTGGGGACTCCAGGTCCTCCCTTCACAGGAGTGCCACACAGACTCTGAAAGATCTAAGACAGTGGTTGGCAAACTCATTAGTCAACAGAGCCAAATATCAACAGTACTTCTTCAAAATAGACTCGCCCAGGCCGAAAACCGACTCCTGCGCATGGGCCACGAAGTTTCAATCGCACTGTACGTGCGCCCGCATGTGGTATTTTGTGGAAGAGCCACACTCAAGGGGCCAAAGAGCCGCATGTGGCTTGCGAACCGCAGTTTGCCAACCACGGATCTAAGAGGCCCGGGGTGGGAGTGAAGGGCTGCTTTAGAGAGGGAGGGGTGGGCACAGACTTGGTGTTGGGGGAAAGCTGAGAAACTCCACCTTTCACTCCCAGGCCATCCCCAGGGCCACCCCAGGCCTTGGCTTCTTAAACAGTAAAGTGCCTGTAGGAATCCCTGGGGATCTGGAGTGCGGGTTCTGATCCCGGAGGTCTGGGATTGGGCCTGAGGTCCTGTGCTTCTAACAAGCTCCCATAGGTCCTCATGCAGACCACACTGAGTTGCAGGCTCTGGCCATATAATGCCTTTTTGCATATCAGGAAATGCACCCCTTCTTCAACAAGGAGAAACCCCACTCCAGGACACGGTGAGTGGGGCCAGGCCGGGCTGGGCTAGACTGTAGCCCTCACTTGTCCCCGGCTGAACTCCGTAGCCCTGGAGATCTTATCTGGCCTCCTTGCCCTGGAAACCCTTTTCCCAGAGCTCAACCTACCAGGCCTGAGAGATGAGCAGGGTGAACAGGCATCTCTTGGGATGCTGAGTTCTCAGCTGAGTCTCTAGTGCTTGGTGACAGGCCTACAACCTCCCAAACTGTTAGCTTCTTGCCAAGAGACAGGAGGCCTGCGCAGGGCAGCTCAGGGCTGGGGAAGAGGAGGGGACGGGGAATAGAATGGGAACATTCTGAGAAAAGGGTCAGTGTTCTGAGTGTGGCAGAGTGGCCACTGGCGCACGGAAGTAGGATTTGGGTGGCCTGGTTTGCCCCAAGTCCTGGGGACTCAGGCATCTCCCACAGACTCTGACAAAAGTCCAGACCAGGTAGGCTGATCTGCTTGCTCCACAGATGAGAAGGTGGGAGGTAGATGCTGGCAGGGTAAAGAGGTCAGGGGTTCTCCACACCACAGGTACTGTCACAGGAAGCCAGAGCCCAGGCCTCACCTGGTGGAGCCACCAGTTGTCCCTGCGCCGGTCCTGTCCCCATGTTAGCACTGAAAGTCACGAGCAAACACGGACGGCAGGTCATCCTACTGCCTGGCCAGGCTCCAGGTTCAGAGCCTAGAAATGACGAGGTTATCAGGGCTTTGAGTGGTGACCCGGGGGCTGGCCAGCTACAGTCCAACAGTCCACAGTGCCGCCTGCGTCCAGGTGAACCAATGACAGGGCAGCCAGTCTGCTGCTGCCAGAGAGAGACTGTGTGGAGGGAGGCACAGGCGTAAATGGCTTTCTTTCTCTCTGGGCCACTCTCCTGTAGCTCAAAGTGGTGCCAGGCACAGCTGGTCACTCCAGCAATTTCTTAATCATGAGGAAGGACGGTGCCAACTTGATGTGCTCCCCAGTTTCCCCACCTGATGGCCCTGGGGCTCCTATGTAAACATCGTCAGCCCTGCTGCAGCGTCCGCACTCTCTCCGCAGCTTTCCCACAACTCCCGGTTCAGGCTCCTGCCCATCCAGGGATCCACAGGGCTCAGGATGGGGCACGGAGAAGGAAGCAATAAATAGATGCAGGTTGTCTTCTGTTCGTCTCAGGGCAGCGACTGGCTCTCAGCACTAGAAGCAAGGCCTCAACCCACAGGGGCCCAGGAAATGCTCAGCGATGCTCAGCTGCGAGCTCAGAAGATACCGAGGAATTGAAGACTTGGGTGGCGTGTGTCCCCTAAAAGGCCTCCAAGGAGCCCAAGGAGGCAGAGACCCACTGCCACTAGCCCTTTCCCGAAACTGTAAGTCTCAGAGAGGGTGGGGGCCTGCCCAAGTTTGCACAGAATGCCCAGAGTCCTGGCTCTAGCCCCCACCTCGCCTCCTCCTCTGGGCATTCCAGGACCCTCTACAGCTCTAAGCTATCTATCCTGGACCGCTGCACCCCCTCCCACACGCTGTTGGGCCCACCCATCCCCAGCCCCTCCAAGCTTGGCCTCCCACGGGCCCTTGGGGCTCCCTCCCCTCAGGGTGCCAGGCCAAGTGGCTTCTGTCCCTTCTGGGTGGGCATGAGGAGGGAGGCCTAAGGTTGGGGGGCCCGCGTGCCCTCTGGAGACATGAGCATGTCAAACTTGATGAGTGGCGGGGCAATGACGCGCACCTCGGCGTTCAGCGGGTTGAAGCGGAGATTGATGCTGCGCAAGGCAGGCATGGCGGCTAGCTTCTCCACGGGCACATCTGTTGGGGAGAGGGAAAGATTAGGGGGCGAGGCCAAGAAAGGTGATGGAACAGGAAGACGCTGACACTCTGTGGGAGCAGCGCTCCATCACCCACCGCACACGGGCTCAGCTCCTGGCGCCCAGCCCTGCGTGAGGGGCCATCAGGCTCCCCAGGGCACTGCAACCACATGCAGAAAAGCATCCGAAAAATAAAGGTGAACATCGGACTTCCATTTATCCCAGCAATCCCACTCCTGGGTAGAACTGAGAGAATTGCAAACAGGTCCTCAAATACTTGGTCACAAATATACACAGCAGCACTATTCACAGTAGCCAAGTGTCCCCAACAGATGAATGGAGAAACAAAATGTGGAGACAGTCTTTAAGAGCATGCAAATAGCCGGCTCCTCACCCACATTTAGCATCCACTGCCCCTAGATTCAACATCCACGGCTGATTCTTGCCTGCTCTGCTCTGCATGTTGGTCACAAAATGATGCTTTTCCAACTCCAGCAGCCCCTCAGCATTACTCTAAGCAAGGGCCTACCTTCCTCTCCCATCTATCCATTTACTACCAATATGGACTCCTGTTTCTTACAACTCATTATTGTATTTAATTATCTTGGTGCTCAAACTGTCCCGGATTTAGCCAGTAGGAGCTTGGAAGTTACAGTTGCCGATCCCAACTTTACCACTCTTTCTGCTCATTTAAGATCACTGTCTGAGAAAGAAGACCTCCCTTACAATTGGGAAAGTAAGGAGAGAAGCTCCTAGCCCTGGCTGGTTTGGCTCAGTGGATAGAGTGTCGGCCTGCAGACTGAAGGGTCCTGGGTTCGATTCCATTCAAGGGCACATGCCCAGGTTGCCGGCTCGATCCCTAGTAGGGGGTGTGCAGGAGGCAGCCGATCAATAATTCTCTCTCATCACTGATGTTTCTATTTCTCTCTCCCTTCTTCTCTGAAATCAATAAAAATATATTTTTAAAAAATTCTCTCTCTCTAAAAAAAAAAAAGAAAGAAAAAATAAAAAGAATAGCTCCTAAATAACCACCAGGTGGGAATGAGTTAGAGAGGACCCTGCCAGAGAAACCGGATTTGGGGGAACAAAATGAGTTGAAGGCGAGGTCACTGAACCTGAGCGAGTGCCTCCAGCTCCCACTGGTGAGCCACGCTGCCGCGCACCCGGCCGGACTGCAGGCTCCCGAGCACACGGTGCTGGAGCGCGGGCCAGCTCCCCTCCACTCAACCGGGGCTCTTGGGCCTAAATGTGTACTTTGGGAACTAGCCCACTTACTCTGGCTCTGCTTCCACTGCCTCTGACTTATGGGTAAAGCTCCTTCTGAAGATGCCAGGAGAACCAGGAGAGGGGATCTGTGGGCCCTGGGCCCAGGGGTCAGTGGCAAGAGGAACCTGAGGGAGGGAGGTAAATCCACATGTGGCAGGACAGTAAGAAGCTAGGAAAATCCCTGGGCAAGTGAACGGGGAAACTGAGACAAGGAAATTAAACAAGGCCAAACCGTTTGGGCAGCTTGCAGCCGGCTGGTGAATCACGAGACCTTATCTTCCCAACCAAGAACACTGAGAGCAAATGGCTCATGCCCTCCTCCCTGGCCAGGGAGTGCATGGCTTAAATCACCCTGGCCTGGGAAAACGGAGAACAAAGACCCAATTAACGCCGCGTGTGCCCGCTAAAGCCAAGGACAGATAAAGTTGGGGAACAAATAACAAAAACCACATTAAAGCCAGACAGACCAACGATAACAGTAAAACGGACCAAAGCACAATCCAAAACTCCCCCATGTGCTCATTTTGATGTATCAGCATATGAACAAGGCATCTGGAAAGCTGGTATATATATCCTGCTGGAACCCTCCCCTAAGATTCTCGCCAGCAGAAAAATAAAAGATGAAAATCCCTCAAGACAAAGACTCCTCTAGAGCACGCCCGTGCTCCTTCCTGGGCATGAACATTTTATTTCTTCCGAAACTCTAAGGGTCCCCAAGGGACTTGCAACCAGGGGAGCAGTGGGCAGCAGCAGCTCGACCCAGGCTCACGCCCTGATCCCATCTCCAAGGCCCCCCTTTTCTCTGACTTCCCAGTGAGCTAACAGCAGCCCTGCTTTGGCTCACTTCTTCCTTATAATGTCTCCAGGGAGCCAGAGCAGAGCACCACTTAGGCTCTCCCCTATTTGTTTCTTTTTTGTTTTGTTAATCCTCACCTGAGAATATTTTTTCCATTGATTTTTTCCACTGATTTTTAGATAGAGTGGGATGGAGGGGGGAAAGACAGAGAGACACATTGATGTGAGAGAGACACATCAATTGGTTGCCTCCTGCACACACCCCAACCGGGCTTGGGATTGAGCCTTCAACCAAGATACATGCCCTTGACCAGAATGAAACTGGCGACCCTCAGTCTGAGGGCTGAAGCTCTAGCCACTGAGCCAGACCGGCTAGGGCTCCTCTGTTGTTTCTTCTATCCTAAATCCTTCCTCCGTTTCACTGTCTGTCCCCAGCTTTAATAAACATACTCTCAAACCCACCTGGACTCATGTTGTGAAATCTTTCCTACGTGAAGTCGAGAACCCACACACTACAGGCTGGACTGAGGAGGAACTCAAACCTGCTTCGGGCCAACTGTGAGCTCTCTGGATGTAGACACACACACACACACACACACACACACACACACACACCAGACAGTCATTGGGAGGAGGAGGAAAAGGGAGGTTACAGCTTCTTCAGGGATAGAATGGGATTGGTGGTAGAAGGTTCTGATCCAACTTGGTGGTTCCATCTCATCTGCACACTGGAACCATCTAGGGAGTTTTAAAAACCATCATCAGATATTCTGACTGAATTGGCAGGGACTGTGGTCTTGGAACAGGGTTTTTGTAAAGCTCCCCGAACGATCTGAACGTACATCCAGTTCAAGCACCTCTGATCTTCCAGTACTTCCATCCGGGACGCTGCCCACCTGCTCTGGCGCATGAGGTGAGCTGCCAGGAGCAAGGCTGATTGCCTACCTGGCCTAGGAGGTCCTGCCTCACACCATACGCTGTCCCCTCCACCACAAAAGAGTTTCCTCCCAACCAGTTATGTGGCTTGTGGCTTTCTATCTCCCTACGGCTGCGTGCAAACATCTTCTCTCCTTATGCAAAGCACTGTCCTGGGTAGCTGGGGTTCTGAAGCAAGACTGCTTGGGTTGGCAAGACCTTGTGCCATGCCCAGGTGCCATGACCTTGGCCAAGTTACTGACCTTCCCCGTGCCTCAGTTTCCTCGCCTGGGGAGAGTAACAGTATCTGCCTCATAAAGTTATGGGGAGGTTTAAACATGAGCACATTTAAATGCTCACTGAATATCAGCTGTGTGACTGACCATGCCACCAGCCCCATGAGAACGGGAGGGCGCTTTGTCCATCTGCCTCCAGCACAGTGTCTGGCACAGAACAAGCTGCTCAATAAAAAATGGCAGCTGGTGAACGAAGGAGCACTTCCCCAAAGCCTACATCCATGTCCATGTCCAGACCCGTGCCTGTGTTCCGAAGTGCCTCTTATACCCTGAATAGGTCCTAGCAAGGCTGAGCTCTGAGATGCAGAGCATGGGGGCTGCTCTCCAGCACTCTGGACAGAGACAGGGACAGGCAGCATTGGCGACTGGGGGAAGGCAGAGAGGGTGTTCCAATCCTGTTTCCCAGTGGCCCCCGCGTGCTAATGGTGAAGAGGGCACTGTGGAGACCAGGAAGGCGAGCCAGGGACTCGGGGAGGAGTAAATGTGAAAGGGTCTTAGAGGCAGCCTCGGCTGGCAGAGAGATGCCAGAGGGACAGCTTGTGGCCCAGCTATGCAGGCCTCTCTGTGCGGAATGCTGAGGCCTTCTACCTCTCCGGTGAAAGCAAGTGCCCAACCCAGCCTCTGGCAGGTGGCAAGGCCTCAGAATGGTTCCCTTCGCGGGTCCAGTGCCCTGTGCTCAGCCACCTCAGGCCAGAAAGCCCAGCGCTGCCCTCCGGTCTCTGAAAATGTGACTCCACAGCCCCATGCCTGGTGCCCCTTGAGCCCTGTGAGCTTCACTCAGGAAAGGGACTTGGAGGAAGGTGGTGCTGGGGGGGGTGGGGTGTCCACTCACCCACAATCTCGTTCTCCTCCAGATTGATGGTCTCCAGTGCTGGCAGGGTGGTGAGCTGCTCAGGAAAGTCATGGAACTGGTTCCGAGACAGGTCGATGGCCTTGAGGTGCTGCAGGGCACTGACCTCGTTGGGGAGGCAGTGCAGGAAGTTCCCTTCCAGGCGGAGCTCTGCCATGTGAGGGAGGAAGAGGAGGGGGGGTGAGAAGGAAAGCAGCCTAGAGACACTACCAGCTGCCCAGGCCAGGAAGGCAGCAAGGACGTCCCAGGCCAAAAGGAAGTCCTCCCCACCCAGGGTCCAGTCCATGTTTGTTTATGCAAGAGGAGGGGTAACTCCCACCGCTGGTTGGGGGTCATTTCCAGCTGGGCTCCCTACTTTTGGCTTTGGAATGGAAGGCTCTCCCAACATTCCAAAGCCTAGACAGCGGTCAGGTGGTCAGGACGTGCTGGCTCCTCCCTCAGACCAGGCCTCCACTCCAGGCCTTGATGGGATAGGTCAGGATGGGCAGCCCGGGGCTCCTCACTCCTGCAGCTGACCAGACGAGTATGGATGGGCTCCTGCTCTTAGAGCAGCTACTCCAGAAGCTGACCAGCAACCCGCAGGGACCAGGGTGAGGAGGTAAGCAGGGCTGGTGGGAGTCCCTCTGCTGGGAACCTGCCCCAGGCTGGCTGGGATGGTGGAGGCTGAAGCTGAAGTGGAAGTGCTGTGTTCTACAGAGAAGCTGGGTGTCCACAGGGACTGGGGGCAAGGAGAAGGGATGAGAGGCAGAAACCCAGAGCCATGGTGGGAGGTAAGGGAGGTGGCATAACGCAGGGCCTAAGTGTGCTGCACCTGCGGCCCCCACGGCCTGAGTTCACACCCAACTGTGCCATCTACAACTTGTTCGCTCCGTTATCTAACCATTAGGTGTGTCTCCTCACCTGTAGAAAGGGACTAGCAGTGCCCGTCTCAGAGGGTTGTTGGAGGATTACATCGTTAACATGGGAAAAGCGCTTGGCTCGGTGCCCAGGACAGAGTACACGTTCCTATGTGCTATTGCTATCATCACAGCATAGGGCTGCTGTGAAGACTGCGTGTGTGCAAAGTGCTTTGCACAATGTCTGGCACACAGTAGGTGCTCAGTAAACACCAGGGAGGAACCTAAGGAAGCAGAGGAAGCCAGTGGACAGCAGGAGCATGGGAGAGACAGAGCAGCAGAACCGCCATGAGAGCACCCACAGGGGCCTGGAGTTCTGCTGGTTTCCCAGGCTCCGTCCCCAAGTGACCTTATAGAGTCTCTCCTTTGTTAAAGGACAGGCGAGCCTTCCCACCTTGTCTGGCAAAAAGGAAACTGAGGCTCAGAAATGCCAAGTGACCTGAAGAATGACCTCAGCTCTTCTCCCCGAGGCTGGCTTCATGGGCCTGTGACCAGCAGTCACACAGGGCCCCAGGTTCCCGAGGGCCCAGCACTCGTGGCTGAATGTTCTGCGCTGCCGTCGTGAAAGTCTGCAGCGAGAGGCTGTTCCAAGACGTGACCACTCCCTGCAAGCGGGACCCGGGCCATAACAGCAGTTGCTTTCTGCAAACCCCCTGGGGACTGTCACATCATAACTGATGTTCACTCTGACATACATCAGCATCTGTCCCTTGCCTCCTGTTACGTGCTGGTTCCTGGAACAGGTTGCTGTCCTGACCTGGTCAAGCACGTGCAGCAATTCCCCATACCTGGCAGCATCCATGAACTAGTACCTGTGACTGTTCCCCCGCTTTACTCCCCAGAATTCTTTAGGATCCATTCAGTCTCGCAGCCGCCTAAGACATGCCTCGTATATGAGTTTCCCTTAATAAACTCTGTTAATTACCAGGCCAGAGTGGCCAGCCTCCTTCTTTGGTCTTTCCCTGCCTTCCGCCTACGAAGGTAGATTTCCAGTCTCAGGGCTTTTCCCTGGATCTGCGTGGACTAACAAAGTCTTAGTAATTTTATCCTTGAGTCTGTGTTTTATAAGTAGAGCGAAGTCCTGAAGTATCAGCTTATACACCGGGTCCTGACTCCCACCAGCTTCCCAGGCACCCAGGACATGCTGGGCTCCCCCTCTTCACCCCTATCCTGCAACCGTTACAGCCCTCTCTCCCTGGAAGGGGCCTGGGCACAGGGAGGGTCAGCCGGCACACGTGCCCATGGTGTCTTGGGGTAGAGCACGGTGGCATCTGTCCCCTGGTACTCCTTGCCCCGGGGCGGGCAGCACTAACATATCTGCTAGGCGGCAGCTGGAGGCTGAGTCTTGGCAGGAGGAAACCTCTCGCTCATCCTGGCCTCAGGTACTGAGCATATCCTGAGGCAGGGGGTTAAAGATTCCTGGGATACCTGGCTGGACCTCGCCAGGTCCTACCCCTGGCCAGGGTGAAGTGGGGTGGTCTCGCATGTGTGGGAACTGTTAGGCTCGAGGGTATGTGCACGTGTGCCCTTCATCATGAGGAGTAGGGGGTACCCTAGGCCCTTGTGAGCGGCCGCACTTCCTGTCTTCCTCCTTCCAACCTTCCTGAGTCTGGCTGGAGTTTCCCTCTGGCCACTTGAGGACCCTCTGGAAACAAGCTATGAAATCCAAACGGCATAATTTTATGACCCCATATATGGGTCAAATGCTGATATTTGCATTTAAAACGGGCGTTGTACAATATAAAGAGGAATGGTAAAATTCATACTAATAATTTAAAGTTTCAATATTTTCCTGACTTGGAAGGGCATTAAATAGCAAATGAAAATCACCAAGACACATTAAGAGAGCGGCCACAGAGGCAAGGAAAAGGCTTTTCATGTTCCTTTAACAGTACTTTCCTCCTGCCTGTGAACAGGGTCCTACATTTTCATTTTGCACGGGGCCAACCAGTTACGTAGCCAGCCCACCTGTCCCTCTGCATCCCCCACGATGCAGCTGGGGTTGTGGGAGGTAAAGGGCTCCTAGGTCCCAACAGCCAGTTCCAGGGTTCCGCAGTTGGAACAGAGCCCTGCGTGAGGGCCCTCTGGACCCACCCACCTGAGTGCCAGCCCCACTGCAGGCACCTGCTCTGCCGTGCTGTCTCTGATCCGATGGGGGCTGTATCTGATTCATCTTTGCTCTCTACACTCAGCAAATATTTGATAAGTGATGACAAGAGGAAAACAGACCTGCCTGTTTGAGGGGACCTGGCTGCGTCTCATTCCCATTTCAAGGACATCCTGAACACAAGGCTCATCAGCAGAGCCACACAAACCCCTAACCCCTCCAGCAGCCAGGTCGTTAGACAGTCACGCCTCAAACCAGAAAACACCCCTGTGCAGGTCACAGGTCCAAGGTCAGTTTTGGAAGGGATGCTGGAGAACATCTAGTCAGTGCTTCGCCAACTTGCCTTTGCCAGACAGCGTTTCCTCCAACACGCCGAGCACGCTGCTGCCTTGGGTCTTGGCACCTGGAGTTCCCTCTTTCTAGGATACTCTGCTACGTCACTTCATTTGTGTCTTTGCTTGAATGTCACGCTGTCTAAAGTAGGATCCTCTCCCATCATTTCCGTCCCCTTCCCCTGCAGTGTTTGCTTTCACGGATTCCATCATTAACTAACACAGAGGAGAGGGAGAGGGAAAGTGGTGGAAATGAGGCTGGAACCACATTATGCAAGGCCTCAGCGACCTTGGGAAGGTCAGGGATTTATCTCAGGGAGATAAGCCATTTTGAGGATGAGTGTGCATGACCTCATCTAAGATTTTTATGTTGATCTTATATCCCAGGAACTTGCTGAGCTAGGAGGGTTGTTTTGTAGATTCCTTGGGGTTTTCTATGTAGACAATTATATCACAAATAAGAGAGTTTTATTTCTTCATTTCCCATCTATATGCCTTAATTTTTTTTTTCTTACCTTATTGCAGTGGTTAGAACTTTCAAAATGAGGGCAGACATCTTTGCTGTCCTCAATTTTACAGGTAAAGCATTTCATCATCAAGTCTGCTGTTAGCTGTGGGATTTTTATAGATGTTCTTTACCAAATTTGCCGGGAGCCGGTCCATCCTTGCTGTTTCAAGGGACCTGGCATATATGGCATACTGTTCTTAATATGTTTGCTCACCTTCTTGGCACTATGTGTTTTAACCAAGGTCACCTCTCTGAGAAAGGCTGTTTCCCCAGGTAGGGATTTTCCCCTGAAGTTAGGGAGGGAATAAAACCCCTTAACTAAGTGCCAGGCGGGTAATTAATCACTTTAACTACGAACAATCATGCTTAAGCTACATAATCTTTACTCCCTGGAATGGAGATAAGAAACGCCCTAACCTTTGGAATAGAGATTGATAGGACTGGAATCAACTGGTATAAATACAGATGTAACAAGACAACAGGACACAGAACCTAGACACAGAACCTAGACACAGAACCTACACAGACCCTAGAGACAGGAGAACTTCGCTGGAGAGAACATGGCAAAAGATCCTGGACAGAAACTGGCCACAGAACCTAGACACAGAACCTAGTGAGAGAACCTGGCTGAAGAACCTAGAGACAGAACCTGGCTACACAGCCTGGATAGAACATGGCAAGAGAACCTGACTAGAACCTGGTGACTGAACCTGGCTGGAGAACCTGGACAGAACCTGGCTGGAGAACCTAACGAGAGAACATGGCGAGAGAACATGGCAACAGAACCTGGACAGAACCTGGCAACAGAACTTGGCAGGAGAACCTGGATAGAACCTGGCTGGAGAACCTAGCGAGGGAACATGGCTACAGAACCTGGCTGGAGAACCTGGAGAACCTGGCTGGAGAACCTAGCAAGAGAACATGGACACAGAACCTGGCTGGAGATCCTAACCAGAACTTCGCTGGAGATCCAGACCAGAACTTGGCCAGAGATCCTGGCTAGGCTGCTGATCAACTGAACGCTGTCTCCGTGTCATTCCTTCTTCGCTGACTCCGTCCACACCTTTGGGGACCCCTGGATCTGCTGGGGTTGGACCCCAGCACAAATTGAGTTATTTCTCCTGTGTTCCTAGTTTGTTGAATTTTTTTTTTTTTAAATCATAAATGGGTGTTGGAGTTTGTCAAATGCTTTTTCTCTGTCGATATATATGATAGATAAATGGCTGATTTTCAAATGTTGAGCCAGCCTTGCACATCTGAAAAAAGTGATAATTACCACTTGATCATGGCATATAATTCTTTTCATA